CGAAACTGGGGGAGGTATGACCGCCTCTTTAGGAAGGCCAAGGTGAACAGGCCTTGTTCGTGGGGCATGATGGACCAACTCATATACTATGAATGCCTCAACCTTCCTAGGGGGGAGGTACAAAAGGAAGAAAAGCATCCCAAAAAGTCATGGGGGAATGATAAAGTTAAAAAACAAGAAAAAGAAACAGGGGGCGAGAAGGCAACTAAAACGGGAAAATCTGTCCCTTACATCCCGGGTGGGTTTTGCTGGAGGTACCACAAAGGGCAAGATTGTAATGGGGGAGATGAATGCAAAGGGAGTCATTTCTGCCCATCACATAAATCAGCCACGCATCCTGCCATCAATTGCCCGGAAGCCCTCAAAACTCCTTTTCGGTCAAAACCAAAGCAATAACAGTACAAATTCAAGTTTTGACAAGAATGCCATACCCATCGTAACGTCACCTTTTCAGTGGGAAGTAAATCAAAGTAAAGTCAATCCTAATCCAAATCCACAGACGAGTCATGAAAACAGTTTAGAAGACCCAACCATTATTACACCAGTAAAAATAGAGAAATTAGCAAGTTATTTGGAAGGTTACGATGAAGATTTAAAAAACCAGTTGATTGAGGGTTTCACTTATGGCTTTAGAATCCCATTCCAAGGACCAATTCACGAAACAGAACCAAAAAACCTTAAATCGGCTTATACCCAGGGGGTCGAAATGAGTGAAAAAATTGAAAAAGATTTAAAAGAAAGAAAAATTTTTGGTCCATTTTCAACTAAACCAAAAAACTTGATTATTTCACCTATTGGTCTGGTTCCAAAGAAAGTTCCGGGGAAGTTCAGAAAAATTCAACACTTGTCTGCCCCGAAGGGCTTTTCGATTAACGATGGAATTGACCCTAATTTGGCATCTGTTCACTATCATAAAATAAGTGATGCGGTGAATATTTTAAAATCATGCAAGTTTCCAATGTTTTTAGCCAAAACAGACATAAAATCAGCTTTTGACATTATTCCAATACATCCGGACGATCGTCATTTGCTAGGTTTTAAATTTGAGGAAAACTATTACTATGCCACTACTCTACCAATGGGCTTGTCCATTTCATGCAAGGTTTTTGAGATATTAAGCACAGCTATTAACTGGATTGCCATAAACAAATTGGGAGTGGGTCATATGCTTCATATTCTCGATGATTTTTTGTTCATTGAACGATCTTTCCCAGAAACAATGGCCAGTTTGGAAAAATTTCAAAAATTTTGTGACGAAACGGGTATACCCTTGGCCCCGGAAAAAACTGAAGGCCCAAGCCAGATTTTGTGTTTCGCCGGAATAGAGTTAGATAGCGTGCATAGAGAAATACGTTTGCCTCAAGAAAAGGTACTAAAAGCTAGGGAAATTATAAACATATATCACAATTCTAAGAAATGTACGAAACGAGAAATACTGAGTATTATAGGCTACCTCCAATTTTGTACATATATCATACCCTTTGGGAATACTTTTCTCCGCCGTCTCATCAGATTATCAATGCAGGCTAAGGAATTACATTGGCATATACGCCTCACTGCTGAGGCCAAACTGGATTTGTCGATTTGGAAATCTTTCATCGACAACTTTAATGGCAAGTCTTTTTTCATGGATGAGGAGTGGCAATTTAGGGAAGGAAATGAGCTAATAACAGACGCATCCCAAAACATTGGTTTTGGTGCTGTACTAGGGAACGAATGGGTGCAAGGCTTATGGCCCACTAGCTGGAAAGCTTTCAATATAACAATTTTGGAACTGTACCCCATTGTCCTAGCATTCTTTGTCTGGGAAAATAGATTTGCCAATAAAGCAATAACAATTAGATCTGATAACTCGGCGGTTTGTGCTATTTTGAACAAAGGGGTCTCAAAGGATAGAATTGTGATGGTCTTGTTGAGAAAACTAGTAATACAATGTTTGGAAAAGAATATTCTATTAAAAGCTGTACACATTCCGGGAATAGATAACGAAATCAGTGATAGCTTATCTCGGAATCTTTTCCAGAAATTTCGAAGATTAATACCAACGGCAGATCCCCAACCAAAAGTTATTCCGGACAATTTGAAGCCAGAGAATTGGACAATAAATTCAAGCACTTTGTGAACAATGCAAAAGCCAAAGGCACGCAAGAGCTTTATCGACGCGTGTGGAAAAAACTAGTACAATTTGGGGAAACTATGAATGTATCAATATATCCACTTTCTACAGGGAATTTAAAACTTTTTATTAGTTATCTACACACAAAAGGGTATGCCCCATCATCTATTAGAACCTTTATATCAGCAGTAGGATACTTTCATAAGGTGAATGGCTGCGAGGACCCATCCAGACATTTTGTTATTCAGGAGGGCTTGAAGGGACTCAATATTCTAAAAGGGGCAACGGATGGGCGCCAGCCAATTAACCAACAGCTTCTTCAAATGTTAATCGGCAAGTTAGCTGGGGTCAAGGTGGTTATTAAAGACCAACAATTATTGACGCTATTTCGAGCAATGTTCTGTCTGGCATTCTATGGAATGCTCAGAATCAGCGAAATGTGTGGATCGGGTCCTCATAATTTGACAATCAATAACATACAATCGCTAAGTTCAAAACATTTAGTTATCCGTTTTCAATCTTTTAAACATAGCCAGCGCCCATGCAATGTCAGGTTAGGTAAGGTTGGAGATGACAGCACCTGCCCTCTCAAAACATTACGTAAATACTTTAGCCAAAGAGGTTGGCAAGATGGACCTTTATTTGTTTACAGAGGGGATCCAATATCAAATCAAATGTTTAGGTCAGTTCTTCGAGAAACTCTTTCTCTTGCCGGAATACAACACAACGTAATTACTTCCCACAGCTTCAGAATTGGGGGGGCCACATTTTACAGCCAATTGGGCTTGACAGATATACAAATCATGAAAATGGGCAGGTGGAAGTCTTTTTCGGCATTTACAAAATATGTAAGGTGAACACTTTAACGCATAAACCTTGACCTAACCGGGGGTTGCAAAGGAAATAAATAATTTTTCTTTAGATTAATTGCATGTTGCACATGTTAAGAATGGTGTCAACCGGGGATCTGGAGGAGGAGGGCGGAGATACCCCCTATCTTCCAGGTCCACGGCGGATTCTAAAAGGTTAGATTTTAAGAAATATACATATGGAAACACTGTAATTTTCCGGACATTCATTGTGGGTTGGGGAAGAGGGAGGAGATACCCCCTATCTTCAATATCCATCAGTGAGTGTCCCTAGAGTTGTAGGTCAATAAATAAACATTCCTAAACACTAAAATGAGTTAGCTTACATAGTATACTGTTTTGTGGCGGCACTTTGCATCGCACAGAGGATGTGTGTCTGCCCGATGCAAAGTAGTGGCGTGAGTTGCCTTTCACAAAAAAGGGTTTATGGAACTTACAGGCATTCAGGTGGGAATAGATAGGGAACCTAGGGGAGTACATACATGGCTAATTGTGTGGCACACATGGCTAATCTTGTGGCAACACATGGCTAATATTGTGGCGACACATGGCTAATCATGTGGAGTACTAATATCAACAATAATAGCGGAGTCAAGAAACGCTAATCAGATAAGTATTCACTCACCCTGGGGAGAATTTTGGAGAGGCGGATTGTCCACACCGGGTAAGTAATGCATACGTAACAGTATGATAGGTGTGGGTGGCTTTGCCTTCAGGAAGTTAATTATTTCCTACCTGTTTGCTTAGGTTGTCTAGTAGTAGGTTAAGTGAGCGACTCCTTTATGGCACATTAGCAGTTATAAGACAACCTTTGGAAAACATAAATAAATTCTATGAAATAGAAAACTTTATGTGTCAAGAAGGTTGTCGCTCACTTACCGGTTAAGGAGGGGATAATGCAGATTAACCTAGCGGGTTGTAGATGTAACGGCTTAAGTGGAAATGAATTTCTAATCCAAATTTAAGTTTTTCAGAGCATCCCGGAAGAAGTGATGCATGATGGGAAGTCTAACTTCCTTTCATGCTTCTTCCATATAGGACTGATATCGCAAAGCGAATTTCGGAGGCGAAAAACGGAAAAGTTCAGAGGTAGTAAGTGAGCAGCACATCAAAAATAGGTATGTTAATTCTATCATGATTTAGTAAGGTGCTAGAAAATTTCCCACCACCACCCCTTCCACCGACCATTTCAAGAAGGGTGACCCTACGACATTTGCAGCGTGAGTTGCCTTTCACAAAAAAGGGTTTATGGAACTTACAGGCATTCAGGTGGGAATAGATAGGGAACCTAGGGGAGTACATACATGGCTAATTGTGTGGCACACATGGCTAATCTTGTGGCAACACATGGCTAATATTGTGGCGACACATGGCTAATCATGTGGAGTACTAATATCAACAATAATAGCGGAGTCAAGAAACGCTAATCAGATAAGTATTCACTCACCCTGGGGAGAATTTTGGAGAGGCGGATTGTCCACACCGGGTAAGTAATGCATACGTAACAGTATGATAGGTGTGGGTGGCTTTGCCTTCAGGAAGTTAATTATTTCCTACCTGTTTGCTTAGGTTGTCTAGTAGTAGGTTAAGTGAGCGACTCCTTTATGGCACATTAGCAGTTATAAGACAACCTTTGGAAAACATAAATAAGAACATCCTATGATTTTTTTCAGAATATCATTTTAATCTACTCGGTGATATTGATATATGCACTCGTTCGCTTCGCTCTCTCGTGCAGATATCAATATCACCTCGTAGATAAAAATGATATTCCTCAAAATCATAGGATATCCTATAATTATGTGATACTATAAAACAAAGCGGATAAACTAAATTGAACTAGTCTAAAAATATCAAAGACAATGACTGTGACTGTCACAATCGAATCACGTCAAATAGCAGACGATGCCTTCCATTTCAGATTCAATATCAACGATTTCTCATAACTTTGTGTTAAGTTCGATGACTCATAATGAGCTTAAATGAATATAGAATCATCAGAAACCTATACTGACCTTCAACTTGATTTCCTTTGTGAGATATAGCTCAAATTATGAGCAAAATTTTCAAATTTCACATGTGAAGTTTCTAGATTTTGGGAGAAGTTCAATGTGCGAACATTGCCGGTTTTTGGCGAAGTGGTATTTATTCAAATAATCCGGCTCGCTCTAAAAATTGCACATCTAATTATTGTTTATAATCAGGGGAGTATTCCTTGTGTAGTGAATCTATTCTAAATGAATGAAAATGATATATATTTGTAATTATTTGAATATTGGTTAATGTTGTAAGCAGCTTGGTCACATGATCTTCAAAATGGCTGGCATTCTGAAAAAATGTTTTCAGTCTCACTTTAAAGGTAAAGTGCTTTTTTGCCATTATGCATCTTTAAAATGAACTTTTGTGGTTTCAGTGGTATACCACTAGCTCTAAACTATATGTATTCGTTCATTATTTCATATGTGTAAGCATTTAGGTCGTTTCGCATTGTTTTCAAACTTTCCTAAATTTTTATTGTCTTTCAAAACTATACAACATGTACAGGACTACTCAAGGATTGGCTCCAGGGGGGGATTTCCCAAAGATGACCTTTCATATTGGCACGTTTGAAAAAAATTTATAAACGGGCCTCATTTGCCATTGGACTGAATCTCCCAATGTTCGCTGTAGTTTTATGAGTATTCTCTTCACATTTGGATCGAGTAACTTCAATAGTATTAAATTACCATAGGTTTAAAATGATGATATTGAACTGAGCTACTCACCTCTTCTGGATTGATTCCCAGGGACGCCAATCGATATTCTGTTCCATATATGGGCATCACATAGTCATGTTATGAATACAAAATTCAATCAAGAATATTGGTTATTCTCCTTGCAGTCATAGAAATATACTGGCAGGATTTGAAACTACCGGAAAATACCTAACATTTTGGTAAAACATTCCTATACCTCCACATGTTATTTTCTGGTACATGTACACTATAAAGTATCAAGGCATGTGTTAATTTCCTTGCTTTTTTCAGGAAAGTATCATTACATTGTCTTCTTTTAGTACATGTATATCTGGTAAGAGGTCAAAGGGAACTCCAAGAAATTCTGATATTTCACACTTGCATGTATTTTTCCATAGACTAAAATATAACACTACACATTGTTGCACTAATAGCGGAGAGTGAATGATCAATGAGTATTATCCATGAATGTCATAAGATGGCAAATTATCAACTTTTACATATTTATGTGTATTTTTATTTTCAATTTTTCAGATAAACTATGGATTATTCCTTACCTTAAAACTCAGGGTAACAAATTCTGTACTTGCTTGCCAGAGTATCAGAGATACTTTGGTCAACCCTCGGCACAAACTCATCCGCATATTATCAGCAAAGAAGAAGAAGTCACACCAGCAATTACGAAGGAAGAATATGCTCAACGAAGAAACACTCTCATGTCCAATTTATCAAAATATGGTATCAATAAGGATTCTAGCAATATTTTAATCATCCCATCTGCCGAGAAACAGTACATGACACATGATATACCATACCCATTTCGACAGAATACAGAGTTTTTGTACCTGTGTGGGTTTCAGGAACCAGATAGTGCTTTAGTTATATTCAACGAGGGTAAAACATCAAGTCATAAATCTGTTTTATTTGTGCCAAAACGTGATCCGAATTCAGAACTTTGGGATGGTCCTAGATCAGGAATAGATGGCGCTATAGCTCTTACAGGAATCGACGAAGCATATAATATGAGTGAACTGGAATTATTTCTCAACAAATACCTCACACACAGCAATAAGTTCACTCTTTGGTATGATACACAAAGGACGCCAGTGCCAAATGTACATAATAGCACAATATCAGAGTTTATTAAGCAGAAGAAACATTGCTCAATAGAAAATCCAAAAAGACTACTGCATATGCAAAGATTATTGAAATCTCCTGCTGAAATTGAATTGATGCGTCATACAACTGAAGTGGCATCGCAAGCTTTCATTGATGTTATGGCATTCTCACATCCTGGGGTTTGTAATCGTTTTCTTAGATCTTGTTTTATATGATTTATGGGGTTTGTATTGTATCAAATGTTTCTTGTTTAACTTTTTTTAATAAATGCAGTAAAACCTTTGGTACCTCTCAAAAGTTTTCAACTTGGGAGGTGTTTCAGAGGTACATTTAGAGGTACATTTAACATGAAGTAGGTTGGTCATGGGACTCTGAAAACTTCCAGAGGTGTTCTACTTTACAGGTTTCTCTGTACTATAAATTTATTTTTTGAATTTTTGACATTGTAGTATTCTCCCATTAATCATGTATTTTTTAGTCAATTATCATTCTCCTTTACTCTTTGATGTATAAGGGTCCCTCCTCAAACTTTGTAATAATGTCTTAGTTTTCAGAAACCAATTCATAAATTCGTAATAAAATGAAAATGAAGTCATTATTACCTGATGTTATTGCATCCCAATCGGTATGAATTTGATGCACGTGATTAAATTTGCATCTGTTGATCTGCCTCTTTGATTTGCCTCTGTTGATTTGCCTCAGCTGATTAAATTTGCCTCTGTTGATTTGCCTCTTCGATTTGCCTCAGCTGATTAAATTTGCCTGTATTGATTTGCCTCTTTGAATTGCCTCTATTGATTTGCCTCAGGCGATTAAATTTGCCTCTGTTGACTGCCTCTTTGATTTGCCTCTGTTGATTTGGCTCAGCTAATTAAATTTGGTTCTGTTGATTTGCCTCACCTAATAGATACATTCCTGAGATGAAATAGCATATAGTCAGGTACTTAAATCATGACGTTCCCCCTTCCCTCCCACTCCATTCATAACATGCTCTAAAATCCAATCAATGATATTCCCTTTGCTTTTAAATGACAATGCTATCCGTCTTAAAGCTCACAACTTACTCAATATACCATTTATAGTTGTCATTTTTTTTATTATATTTAGGTTAATGAGGCCCACCTTTATGCCAAGATGGAAGTGGAGTGCAGAATGAGAGGAGCGGATTTCCTTGCCTATCCCCCTGTAGTTGCAGGTACTGTAGTCTACATATGTGTATGCAGCTTACATATTACCTATAGTATTGCATGCATTGATATAGCTTTATGTGTATAGTTTGCCAATTTTGTCACTTCGGTAGCTGGAAGATAGGTTTAGCTTTTTGTTGTACATTGCAAAATTCAAGAAACTGCTTTAAATGTTCATGAAAATATCAATTTCTACTCACTTCATGAGATGTTTTGCACGGAAATCAGATAATCGTCTCTTGAATGTAAAACATTGTAAAATATAATCATAATAGTGAATTTTCTCTTTAGGTTAAATTTTGTTTCACCCAGTTTTAAATCCTCAGGCTCTGCCGCTGACCATTTATATACCATTTTAGGAGGAAATCGGGCCAACACCATCCATTACATAGCTAACAATCAGCTAATAGATGGCACAGAGATGGTATTGATGGATGCAGGTTGTGAGCTACATGGGTACACCAGTGACATCACTAGGACGTGGCCTGTTTCAGGTTAGATTGTGTAGTGGGCATGTGGATGGCTATAAGAAAGAGCACTTGCATGTGTACAGCAGCGTATGAACTGTAAAAGGGGATGTATGTTGTATGCATGTCTATCTTTCATCCTCTTACCTCTTATATTTTGGACACTTACGGGGTTTTCACTAGAATTTTCCAACAAAATGGGCATGAAGTAAAAGCAATGGGAAAAATTGTGGAAGTCATAATTTAAACATGAAAAAAGTTCCAATTCCATTTTTAGTTGAAAGTAATAAATTAGACAAAACCATAAAAGTAACCAGAGAAAATCTGGATTTTAATAATCTGAGTATTTACCCCCATAAAACGTCCCCTCTATTTAAATTGTATATGTCTAAATGATTTGCAAGCTTTAATACATTCTAGGTACATTTACTGATGCACAGAGAGAAGTTTACGAGGCTGTACTAGAAGTGCAGTTAGCATGTATTAAGCTATGTAAAGTGGGATGCAAGCTGGATGATATGTTTAGAGCCATGGTCCATATGATTGGCAAACAGCTAATAAGGTTGGGTATCGTTCCTGAATCCACAAGTGACTCTGAGATCTACAAGGTATTATATTTATCATCAATTTGTACCATTTCAAAGGGTAGCAAATGATAGAAGTAAATTGGAGAAATCTAGCGACATATTGCAGAGGCATATCTCGGGTAAAAATTGGGCAGACTTGAAAGTTGAAGCAAATTAGGTTAAAAATGGGGTACATTGTATATTTTTACCTTTAAACCTCATTTCCACAGTTTTAATTGAAAAATTGTCCATTAATTATCACATTTGACACAGTATCTAAAATGTTCTTACTTAAGGTGTATTAATTATTTAGTATTTTAATCGCATAGGAAACCTATTTTAACCACTAAAGTTTTAGTGCAATCTAAAAGATTCTTAAGACTGAGCTTTAGATATATTATGTTTTATCCTATGCCAAGTACAGTTTTAGGGAGATAAGTTGGTAAGATATATCCCGTATCCTGATTTTGAGGTTTCCATATCAAGAACCTCCATATCTCTCGCCATATCTCCCGCTTCGGTGCATATCTTCCCGCTTCCGGTGCATATCTTCCCGCTTCCGGTAATGCAATAAAATGACTTGATTTGTTTATTTTTACACCTTGTACTATTAAAATGGCCATATGCCCCTGAAAACTCTACTTGGTATAGGATAAAGCAGTTATGTACGGTCGGTTTGGATATGGGGTTCATCCCTCGTGAGATATGCACATCTACCTTCGGTCCCTACGGTCCCTCAGGTAGATATGCATATCTCCCTCTGGATAAACCCCATATCCAAAACCTCCCAGTACATAACCCTTATTTATTGTAAAGACGCACCTGTGAAAGTGTGCCGCTGATACAAAAGCGTAGTTCTGAATAAATAAATAAATAGGCAGTTGAAAAAATTATTTTTATTTCCATTTATTATCACAATTTTATCAGTTTTTAGTAACACTGACAAAAGGCAAAAAAAATAATTTCCAACATGCTCTATTCTCAACAACCACTTTAAAATATCATTGAAAGCCATTTTCATAATATTGACAGCTGATTAACTGAGCATTGTGGATTATAGTTTTCCTGTAATAATGAACACATGCAATGGAAGTCTTACTTTGACTGTAAGACAATTTGATGAATATTTAAGTATTTTTGCTAATATTATGGCTTGCAACTTTTGTGAATAGTCAGAATAAAGTATTTATGTTATTTTTATTTCAGTTTTTAATTTTTGGAATTCAAATATGTTTATCCTTAGACTCACTGTACTATATCTAGTATACCATTTTGTTCCAGTTGGCAAGGGATATTTGTCCCCACCACGTGAGTCATTACTTAGGAATGGATGTCCACGACACACCTTCAGTATCAAGGAGCCTGGCTATACAACCAGGGACTATAATCACTGTTGAACCAGGTAAGGGGACTATTACCACTGTTCAACCAGGTAAAGGGGACTGTTATCTCTTTGATCCAGGTAAGAGGACCATTATCAGTGTTCAACCAGGTAAAGGGGACTGTTATATCTTTGATCCATGTAAGGGGACTATTATCACTGTTGAACTAGGTAAGGGGACTGTTATCTCTTTGATCCATGTAAGGGGACCATTATCACTGTTGAACCAGGTAAGGGGACTGTTATCTCTTTGATCCAGGTAAGAGGACCATTATCAGTGTTCAACCAGGTAAAGGGGACTGTTATATCTTTGATCCATGTAAGGGGACTATTATCACTGTTGAACCAGGTAAGGGGACTGTTATCTCTTTGATCCAGGTAAGAGGACCATTATCAGTGTTCAACCAGGTAAAGGGGACTGTTATATCTTTGATCCATGTTAGATGACCATTATCAGTGTTCATCCAGGTAAAGGGGACTGTTATATCTTTGATCCAGGTAAGAGGACCATTATCAGTGTTCATCCAGGTAAAGGGGACTGTTATATCTTTGATCCAGGTAAGAGGACCATTATCAGTGTTCATCCAGGTAAAGGGGAACGTTATCTCTTTGATCCAGGTAAGAGGACCATTATCAGTGTTCAACCAGGTAAAGGGGACTGTTAAATCTTTGATCCAGGTAAGAGGACCATTATCTCTGTTGAACCAGGTAAGGGGACTGTTATATCTTTGAACCAGGTAAGGGGACTTTTATCTCTTTGATCCATGTAAGGGGACCATTATCACTGTTGAACCAGGTAAGGGGACTGTTATCTCTTTGATCCAGGTAAGAGGACCATTATCAGTGTTCAACCAGGTAAAGGGGACTGTTATATCTTTGATCCAGGTAAGAGGACCATTATCTCTGTTGAACCAGGTAAGGGGACTGTTATATCTTTGATCCATGTAAGGAGACTATTATCACTGTTCAACCAGGTAAAGGGGACTGTTATCTCTTTGATCCAGGTAAGAGGACCATTCTCAGTGTTCAACCAGGTAAAGGGGACTGTTATATCTTTGATCCATGTAAGGGGACCATTATCACTGTTGAACCAGGTAAGGGGACTGTTATCTCTTTGATCCATGTAAGGGGACCATTATCACTGTTGAACCAGGTAAGGGGACTGTTATCTCTTTGATCCATGTAAGGGGACCATTATCACTGTTGAACCAGGTAAGGGGACTGTTATCTCTTTGATCCAGGTAAGAGGACCATTATCAGTGTTCAACCAGGTAAAGGGGACTTTTATCTCTTTGATCCAGGTAAGAGGACCATTATCAGTGTTCAACCAGGTAAAGGGGACTGTTATCTCTTTGATCCAGGTAAGGGGACTGTTATCTCTTTGATCCAGGTAAGAGGACCATTATCAGTGTTCAACCAGGTAAAGGGGACTGTTATATCTTTGATCCATGTAAGGGGACTATTATCACTGTTGAACTAGGTAAGGGGACTGTTATCTCTTTGATCCATGTAAGGGGACCATTATCACTGTTGAACCAGGTAAGGGGACTGTTATCTCTTTGATCCAGGTAAGAGGACCATTATCAGTGTTCAACCAGGTAAAGGGGACTGTTATATCTTTGATCCAGGTAAGAGGACCATTATCACTGTTGAACCAGGTAAAGGGGACTGTTATCTCTTTGATCCAGGTAAGAGGACCATTATCAGTGTTCAACCAGGTAAAGGGGACTGTTATATCTTTGATCCATGTAAGGGGACTATTATCACTGTTGAACTAGGTAAGGGGACTGTTATCTCTTTGATCCATGTAAGGGGACCATTATCACTGTTGAACCAGGTAAGGGGACTGTTATCTCTTTGATCCAGGTAAGAGGACCATTATCAGTGTTCAACCAGGTAAAGGGGACTGTTATATCTTTGATCCATGTTAGATGACCATTATCAGTGTTCATCCAGGTAAAGGGGACTGTTATATCTTTGATCCAGGTAAGAGGACCATTATCAGTGTTCATCCAGGTAAGGGGACTGTTATATCTTTGATCCATGTTAGATGACCATTATCAGTGTTCATCCAGGTAAAGGGGACTGTTATATCTTTGATCCAGGTAAGAGGACCATTATCAGTGTTCAACCAGGTAAGGGGACTGTTATATCTTTGATCCATGTCAGGGGACCATTATCACTGTTGAACCAGGTAAGGGGACTGTTATATCTTTGATCCAGGTAAGAGGACCATTATCACTGTTGAACCAGGTAAAGGGGACTGTTATATCTTTGATCCAGGTAAGAGGACCATTATCAGTGTTCAACCAGGTAAGGGGACTGTTATATCTTTGATCCATGTCAGGGGACCATTATCACTGTTGAACCAGGTAAGGGGACTGTTATATCTTTGATCCAGGTAAGAGGACCATTATCACTGTTGAACCAGGTAAAGGGGACTGTTATATCTTTGATCCAGGTAAGAGGACCATTATCAGTGTTCAACCAGGTAAAGGGGACTGTTAAATCTTTGATCCAGGTAAGAGGACCATTATCAGTGTTCAACCAGGTAAGGGGACTGTTATATCTTTGATCCATGTAAGGGGACTATTATCACTGTTGAACCAGGTAAGGGGACTGTTATCTCTTTGATCCAGGTAAGAGGACCATTATCAGTGTTCAACCAGGTAAAGGGGACTGTTAAATCTTTGATCCAGGTAAGAGGACCATTATCAGTGTTCAACCAGGTAAGGGGACTGTTATATCTTTGATCCATGTTAGATGACCATTATCAGTGTTCATCCAGGTAAGGGGACTGTTATATCTTTGATCCATGTTAGATGACCATTATCAGTGTTCATCCAGGTAAGGGGACTGTTATATCTTTGATCCATGTTAGAGGACCATTATCAGTGTTCATCCAGGTAAAGGGGACTGTTATATCTTTGATCCAGGTAAGAGGACCATTATCAGTGTTCATCCAGGTAAAGGGGACTGTTATATCTTTGATCCAGGTAAGAGGACCATTATCAGTGTTCAACCAGGTAAAGGGGACTGTTAAATCTTTGATCCAGGTAAGAGGACCATTATCAGTGTTCAACCAGGTAAGGGGACTGTTATATCTTTGATCCATGTCAGGGGACCATTATCACTGTTGAACCAGGTAAGGGGACTGTTATCTCTTTGATCCAGGTAAGAGGACCATTATCTCTGTTGAACCAGATAAGGGGACTGTTATATCTTTGATCCAGGTAAGAGGACCATTCTCAGTGTTCAACCAGGTAAAGGGGACTGTTATATCTTTGATCCATGTAAGGGGACTATTATCTCTGTTGAACCAGGTAAGGGGACTGTTATCTCTTTGATCCAGGTAAGAGGACCATTCTCAGTGTTCAACCAGGTAAGGGGACTGTTATATCTTTGATCCATGTAAGGGGACTATTATCACTGTTGAACCAGGTAAGGGGACTGTTATCTCTTTGATCCAGGTAAGAGGACCATTATCAGTGTTCAACCAGGTAAAGGGGACTGTTATATCTTTGATCCATGTTAGAGGACCATTATCAGTGTTCATCCAGGTAAAGGGGACTGTTATATCTTTGATCCATGTAAGAGGACCATTCTCAGTGTTCAACCAGGTAAAGGGGACTGTTATATCTTTGAACCAGGTAAGGGGACTGTTATCTCTTTGAACCAGGTAAGAGGACCATTATCTCTGTTGAACCAGGTAAGGGGACTGTTATATCTTTGATCCATGTAAGGGGACCATTATCTCTGTTGAACCAGGTAAGGGGACTGTTATATCTTTGATCCATGTAAGGGGACCATTATCTCTGTTGAACCAGGTAAGGGGACTGTTATATCTTTGATCCAAAAGAGGACCATTATCTCTGTTGAACCAGGTAAGGGGACTGTTATCTCTTTGATCCAGGTAAGAGGACCATTATCTCTGTTGAACCAGGTAAAGGGGACTGTTATATCTTTGATCCATGTAAGGGGACCATTATCTCTGTTGAACCAGGTAAAGGGGACTGTTATATCTTTGATCCATGTAAGGGGACCATTATCTCTGTTGAACCAGGTAAGGGGACTGTTATCTCTTTGATCCAGGTAAGAGGACCATTATCAGTGTTCAACCAGGTAAAGGGGACTGTTATATCTTTGATCCATGTAAGGGGACTATTATCACTGTTGAACTAGGTAAGGGGACTGTTATCTCTTTGATCCATGTAAGGGGACCATTATCACTGTTGAACCAGGTAAGGGGACTGTTATCTCTTTGATCCAGGTAAGAGGACCATTATCAGTGTTCAACCAGGTAAAGGGGACTGTTATCTCTTTGATCCAGGTAAGAGGACCATTATCAGTGTTCAACCAGGTAAAGGGGACTGTTAAATCTTTGATCCATGTAAGGGGACCATTATCTCTGTTGAACCAGGTAAGGGGACTGTTATATCTTTGATCCAGGTAAGAGGACCATTATCAGTGTTCAACCAGGTAAAGGGGACTGTTATATCTTTGATCCATGTAAGGGGACTATTATCACTGTTGAACCAGGTAAGGGGACTGTTATCTCTTTGATCCATGTAAGAGGACCATTATCACTGTTGAACCAGGTAAGGGGACTGTTATCTCTTTGATCCATGTAAGAGGACCATTATCACTGTTGATCCAGTTAAGGGGACTATTATCACTATTAAACCAGGCGCAACTAGGTGATTGTTTTTTTGGTCAAATGATAAGCATATTGCATTTCTAATTGCAAATCAGACCGTATGAGGCAAGTCAATTGAATTCTCAAGTTTTACTTATACTTAGGCTTATTGTATTCCTTTTCAGGCATGTACTTCCCTAAGGACAACACAAAAATACCTGAACGATTCCGTGGAATTGGCATAAGAATAGAAGATGATGTTCTCATAACAGAAGAAGGTCCTGACGTCTTGACTCACAATTGTCCTAAAACTATAGGAGCCATAGAACATGTGATGAAATATCAGAAACGTGTGACGTGGAGTAAGGAGGGATATTAGCAGTAATGGGGGAAAACATGGAGCTGGTATATATGAAACATGTAGCAGGAATATGTGACATTGAGCAGGAATATGTGACATTGAGCAGGAAAATGTCACATGGAGCGGGAATATGTGACATGGAGCAGGAATATGTGACATTGAGCAGGAATATGTGACATGTAGCTAGCAGGAATATGTGACATGTAGCAGAAATATGGGACATTGAGCAGGAATATGTGACATTAAGCAGGAATATGTGACATGGAGTAGGAATATGTGACATTGAGCAGGAATATGTGACATGTAGCTAGCAGGAATATGTGACATGTAGCAGGAATATGTAACATGGAGCAGGAATATGTGACATGTAGCAGAAATATGTGACATGGAGCAGGAATATGTGACATGGAGCTTGTGTATATGTGACATTTACCAGGAATATGCGACCTTTGAGCAGTCCTGTGTGGTAGAGGCTGAAATATGGAATAAAGGCTTAAATGAGTCATGATGATTAAGAGTGATAATCGGGAAATAACAAATTTTTGGAAATGCGTTACTCACTCATGTATCTCCCCCTCAGGACCTAATAGAATAGCACTCCCCCTGTGGTTCATTCGACGTGCCTTACTAATAATATGAAAAAACATGAGATTAGACAATTATTATGACTATTTAATAATAAATATGAATACTGTTTTAATCCTTATAACATGTGTAAGATCTTGTTGACGCTATGTTTTACTTGCATTTGGGTAATTTGATTTTAGTTTGTTCAATGTATGTACCATACATTATTGATGATTATCTGCTGGTCTAATTTTGAAGGTTGATTGAAAAAGCCAAAATGACAAATTGTCGTATGATCTTCTAAATCGCTGATAAAAATGGAAATTACAAAAATTTAAATGTGCTCTTTAACAAATAGCATTGAACGGGTGATTCAATTTATGATTAGTAATCTGTTTGTTCAGAAATTTATTATTTATTTAGTATTCATTTACTTTTATAGGTGAATTGAATAAACTCCTTATAAATCAATAAAAATCAGTATCACCTATAAAAACTGAATGCAAAATTAGTAGGGAGTTTAACCTTGCATATAAAATCGAAACGCCAACCTATACGTATGACCAATAGCCCATACAAATGCATTGCTTACATTATTTTCCATTTGCGTTTAGGTTTTTAAAAATATTGCAAGCTTAAACTCCACAATATTATAATTTCCCGGGAGAATTACTTCAGAATGTACTGTTTGTGTTTATGTATAGAGAATGTACGGTACTTGTACGAATAAAACAATACTAATCGTATTTTAAACATGTTTTTCGTTATAATAAATAAGAAAGTACAAAAAATTGATTGATATTGAACGGCAATAAAAGAAATGTGTGAAAATACCATTTTTGAATGATAATGTGCGTGTCGCGTGGACCAGTGTAGATTGAGGTTATAGCAAATATAAATAACGTTCTAACATTTCCTCAAGGAAGAACATGAAGGGACCCCTGCCTGGTGAGATTCACTCTTTCGTCCTGTCCAATTTAGAATCCGGAATACTCTTCGCCTAGATTGGCAAAACAGCGTAGTTACGCGTCTGAATGTATCATTTCAGCGGTCTAGGCGAATTACACGGGTGATCTCCCTTTTGACATCTGCAATTATCCTGGGGTCACTCTCTAACGATATCTTTGGCTTATTCCCACAGGTAGAAATCAGGTAGGAGGAAGACATATGCAAGGTTGGCTAAATCGCAATAGTGACCAATGGGGCATGTTGTAAAACGCTATAACATTGTGATAAAGAGACATATAAAACATGTCTGATTGTGACTATCCGTTTAAAGTACTAAAGTACTAAAGTCACGACTTCTGCATCCTGTCAATACTTGCAATTTTGGTGACGTTTCGAAAAACATTTTGCAATACAATGGGAATTCAAGGGACATGGGGGACCTTGCCATGGGGTTTCAATCAAGAATATCTTAGCCACGTGGTTCCAAGAAACTGTTATTTTGTTACCGTGATTTTCAATTTTTACCGTTTCTATCTAGCTTAGTGTCACACTTCACATTGGTAAAAAAAATTTCCTCCCATTTGCTGATTCATTTCAATACTTGATTTTCTTCAATTCTAATCCAGGCCCAGCAAAACGTAAGTAAGCTAATCTAGTAACAGTCGCCAAACATGCAAGATTTTTGATAAAGTTGACCAATAAATCGATAAATTGCCCCAGGTAAATTGCACGCCCTCCAGAGGTTACTCCCATATACTATACCATAGTATTTGCTATATGGGACGTAAGCCTGCCGCTATTTAAGTGGATCGCATTTTGATTGAAAAAAAGATGTTGGTCCCATTTTAACGAAAATATCCGTTGAAGCTGGTCCACGTTTTAAAGTTTACTAAAAGTTTTTCAAATTCACAAATTGAATTCCTAACCTGGATGCGGCCCGAAGGATGCAAGCTCCCTTGAACAAAAAAATCTGTAGAACTAAATTGTGGGAAATATAGCATGTTTGATAATTTTGAAAAAGATAAAACAAACGTTTTTTGGGCCCTAAAATTTTGAGATCCCCCCCCCCCCCCCTGGGTCAACTAGTTGGATCCGCAAGTGACTCCACTTCTTAGTAGTGCAATATTAGCTCCAGAACTGTAGGTTCAAAACAAGGACAAGCAATGAAAATGTTTCTTCGACATGCATCATGCCAGGCTATAAATGCACCGAAGTTAGACGTTTTGGCGCCGTTTTCAGATTTTCTACCTCCTACTCGTTCTACTTGAAGAGGTACACAAGCACTCTTCAAAAAGAAAGTAACAAAATTATTTCATTTTCATGAGATTTTTCCTGATTTTTCAAGTTTTGTAGATAATATACAAATCTGAGAAAGCTTAATTTCATAGATATATGAGTAAAGGTTGGTGTGCTATGTTATACAGTATATTTTATGGGGAAAACTACCGAAATTAGTTTCGTATCGAGTATAAATGAAAATATGCTAAGCTTTTTATGATCGATTTTTCACTTTCTGTTTGTTTTATATTTACATGTAGTGGCACAGTCAGTGCCAGCTATCCTAGCCCGTGATAGAGTAAAATTCATAAGGTTTAATCCTGTAGCATGGGTCTTATCTTTTTTATATTTTGGTTTTGTAATGTTTGTTTTGTAATTTCAGCCTCCGTGTTAGAGGTCCATGTGGGAGTCATCAAGACCGTGCATGTACAAGTTGTATGTACAGAAAGAAGAAAGATTTATAGCTAGTTTAAGCACAGAGACACATTGCACAACTCATTCAAAGGGTTTTTGACATCATGGGTAGTTCTAGTAACACATACCAACTGACACGTTTAATTCAGGATGCTGTCATGAAACTTTGCACACGAAACATTTTATTCTCAAGATCTCTTGAGGTGGATGGCATCATTTGTATATCAGAAGGAGATGATAAACCAGAAGTTGTCGTGAAAATGCATCGCACAATCGTCAAACCGCCTGACACTCCTGATGCATTCTGTCAAATTCAAGAAGCAACAGCTACTCAGTATAGTCACAATGATGTCACGGCGCCATTAACAACACAAGGGAATGAATTTGCCTTTCAAAATAAAGAGACTGAAAACTTAGTATCTAATAGAAAAAGGAAACAGAAATGTGAAGGACTTCATAAGGTTAAAAGTAAGTCATATATGACCTGGAAAATTCTGCTCAGAACATTAAAATATTTTGTGCCCATTTTAATTAGGTGGTTACTTAATTAATTTGATCAACTTAAAAATTAAGGCTTGCTATTGGTTAATCGACGCTTTGCTATATCCATGTGCGTTACAAGAGAGTGTATATGTATTCTTCAAAACATGTGAATTATTTGATATGTTATTATTTAGAAATATTTATTTATACATGTACCTTTTTTACATTTTATAGATGAACACATGAATTACCCCTCCTGTGCCTATAATAAAAGAAAAAATGACAATATTGAGCTAACTAGTCCAGAAAAATGTCTAAGAATAAAAACTGAAAATCCTGTAGTCGAGACTGATGAAAGTATTGATGGAGGAACAGATGTGACAAGCAGCAACTCTAATTGGACACCAAGTAATGCGTCACATGATCAACTCGGATATGGGACAACCAATCACAGCGCCTCTAACATTAACATACGTAAGTACATGTATATACTTTCCTCTGAAATTGTGTGTTTACCTGTGTTCTTCATTCTATATCATGCAAGCAATACATCTCTCTCCAGAAAGTAATTTATATCAATGGGTCATCTCAATCACCAATACTGAATAAAGGTATCCTCTATAAAGGAGTTAATAAAATTGAGTATGAACTATCACAAATTCAATCTCAAAAATGTTAATATCCGCACTGTGGACACATGATACCCTCACTTCTTGTTTTTATATAACTCAGTCTGTGTATGATTTGTTAATAGGTTGTCCATGTTAATGATGTAATGGGCTATGTGTGTTTTTAAAGTATTTAAATATATTTTTTACTTTTTATATATAGATAAACCAGTGAATTATCCCACTTGTGTCTACAATAAAATAAAAAATGACAATGTTGAGCTTACTAGTCAAGAAAAATGTCAAAGCATAAAAACTGAGCACCCTGTAGGGGAGACTGATAGCATTGGTGGAGAAACAGATGTAATGAACAGCAGCTCTGATTGGACACCCAGTAATGTGTCACATGATCAAGTCAGATATGGGACAACTAATCACAGCACTGCTAACATAAACATAAGTAAGTGTACATTTACATTTAGTCAGAAATAACTAATTATTAATTCCTTCAGGGGTTTTAAAAATTTCCACTCTGGTTGACCAAAGTTAAGCTGAAAGCAATGGATCGCATAAGTTTTCTCTATGGGAAAATAACATCAGAAATACTGTTTATCACTATTAACTAAAATTAATTTACTTATTCCTTTTAAGGGGTTAACTGTGAGTCAAAACGCAACACATTGATGCAACAACAATTCAAAAAGCATGGATGGAAGGGGTTGAAAATCTGGACAACATTTCAGAAAAAAACATGTGGTTTGCATCTTCCCTGTCTCAAAGTCAAAATTATTTTATCATCTCTATGAGTGCTTTTCCTAGAGGTTGCCTTACATTATCCACCTGTTAAATCCTCAGGAAATAACCAACATCCAACATACGATCGTCAGAAATCTGTTGCGATACTTTCCCTCCTCCTTTCTGATGTTTATGAATTCTAAAAGTAAATCTGACAGTTTTGTGCTTTGTCATATAATTTTGGCATTGTTCCAATTGATGACATTATGAATTATTAAGATCTGAGACAATGAGACAACATTTTTCTTCATTTTTTAGCCCATATTTATTGAGCTATTGTTTCAACCAGGTTTATCTGCATTTTTCATCTGCAAGGAAATAAAATCTGAATGGGAGCCAATCTGCTAGATTCCCTATTCACCTAAATGTTAATTTTATCATAAACTCAACAAATTAATTAGATTGACTTATCCCGATTTGGTAAGGGAAGATCAAGGAATTATTCAAAGAATATAGTTGTAAAATTGTGATGTTTGATTTGTATGCATTTTAGATAAACTAGGCTAGTTAAACAGTTCCACATTTAATATATTGCAGCTCCTGATAAAGACCTTGTATGTAATATCTGCTACAAGACATTCGCAAATGCTGGGAATTTACGACGTCACATAAGAAGTGCACATTTGAACCAGTCCTTTCAATGCCTGAAGTGCAATAAGAGTTTCAATTACTCTAGCAATTTGAAACGTCACAGTAAAACTTGTCAAGGATTAAATTCAACCACAAGGAGTAAGGAACTTACAAACAAACAAGGTAGAAATACACAGTATGATGATAATACAAGGCAATATGATGATAACTACACTGAGAATGATGATAATACCAGACAGTATGATGATAACTATACACAAAATGATGACAATATCAGACAGTATGATGAAAACTACATACAGAATGATGATAACACCAAACATGATGATAACTCTACACAGAATGATGATAATACCAGACAGTATGATGATAACTACATACAGAATGATGATAACACCAGACAACATGATGATAACACCAGACAACGTGATGATAACTCTACACAGAATGATGATAATACCAGACAGTATGATGAAAATGATACGCAAAATGATGGTAACAAGACTTTGTATAATGATGATATCACTTATTATGATAATAATACAACTTAGTATGATGATAATTAATATAACTTAGTATGATGATACTACAACTAAGTATGATGATACTACAACTAAGTATGATGATAATACAACTAATTATGATGATAACACAACTTAGTATGATGATAATACAACTTAGTATGATGATAAAATCATATGTAAAGTAATTCTGTGATTACAAATGAGGACAGAACTCATACTATTACAAAATGAGGATACGCTTTGTAAAACCTGTTCAAAGGAACACCTCTGTATCACAGGCTGGTATCGAAAGATTTGTCCGCTGTGACTGAGCATGCTATTTTTCATAAAAACACTAAGAATGCTTCACGATTTATTTTTTAACTCATATGTTTCGTTATATCAAAGATAATTACTTACTCCATGCAATGGATATATCATTTGCGTGTAACCTTCACTTCTGTTTGAAGTCCAATAACGATAGGAGTAAAATCTATTGAAAACGGCGCCAGAGTATCAAACTCAAAATGTACCATTTCTTTTTTAACTTTTTAATGGCATGATATAGTGACACGATAATATTAACATATGTTTTCAGCATAACTCTGAATGTATTAATGAGATATTAATGTATTGGGTCTTTTTAATTGTTTTATAAAAAATTATATCAATATTTTTTGTCCGCTGTGACGGAGCATTTTCACAGTTCACATTTGCAACTGCTCCGTCACAGCGGACAAAAAAATTAAACATTATTTTTTATAAAAGAATTAAAAAGACCAAATACATCAACATCTCATTTATACCTTCATAGTTATGCTTAAACCATGTGTAAATATTATCGTGTCACTATATCGTGCCATTAGAAAGTTAAACAAGAAATGGTACATTTTGAAGTATGATACTCCGGCGCCTTTTTTAATAGCTTTTCTTCCCAGCGTAATTGGACTTCAAACAGAAGTGAAAGTTACGCGCAAATGATATATCCATTGCATGGAGTAAGTAATTTTGTATGGTATAACGAAACATATGAGTTAAAAAATAAATCGTGAAGTATTCTTAGTGTTTTTATGAAAAATAGCATGCTCCGTCACAGCGGACAAATATTTCCATACCAGCCTGTGTGTATAAGGAACAGTTTTCAAAATAATCAAAATGTTTTACTGTAAGTTAAATGTTAATGGAAACTCTCTGTATTAAGCACCATACTGAAGTTGTTGGGAAAATAAAAAAAAAACATATGTGTTCACAACAAGCATGTTTTGTTGATTATATCATAATACTGTTTTTAGATTGACTTAAGCCAATATCCATGTAACTTTAGACAGATATAAATTAGATAAGGATTAAATATTTATGATATGAACTCAATATCGTTTGAATCTGTTGTATAGAACCTTTGTAAGTAGAACACCCTTGGCTCTGCCAAAAAATGGTTCACGTGTGACGTGTTCCAATGGCAGAGGTTATTGTATTACAGGGATTTAAAGAAATACAAACACAAATTATACATTATTTGTCAGAAGCATATCCCATATGGGGTAGCATACCTGCCAACCTACAGTATTTTTACGCGAATCTACTGTAAAATTTTCGTTTTTTCCGTAAAAAAAGATAATTGAATGAAGTATACATGGAGAAAATTTGAACATCCTAGCTTCACTAATAAAAATTAGTGCCCTTTTGACCCCTCTTGGGCGTTCGTGTAACTTTATTTACCTAACCATCCTAAGCCACTGTACCCTCGATCTTTACAACAAACGTGGTCATCCAACTCCCGTCAACATCAGAGCTAAGTGTACACATATTAATAAATGCATAACATACAAATGAATTGAAACTTAGTGTATTCCCTTATTCTGCATATTGGACTATAGTTGTACAGAGTACGCTACATCATGTTTTGTTATATTCCAACAACAATAGATGGCTCTCGATGCAACTAATGTAACATGTTCTACCACTAGCTTTCAACTCTTTATTAATTGATATGGTGCATGTTGTATGACGTGTCTGTTTTTCTAGACGCCCATTTATTAAGATATTTTGTATGATTATCTGTCTTGGATTCTCCGTTCTCTTTTAAATAATGGCCGCGATTTTGTACAGGTCTGAACATGGAAAGTTTTATGATTATACATATGGTATCTCTTTAGTTTTAAAACAAAATCATCCTCGAAATGTATTTCGACGATATCTTTAATTCAAGTGGACGTTTTTGTTGGGTTAATTTCACAATGTGACTTGGCTACCCATATGACGTTATTCTTAAGATGTAAAACGTCCGTTCAAGAAACACGAACAGTCAAAACAAAAAGAGTGTTTGCCATGACCAATGTTGTTCTTGTTGCTCTTGTTGGTGTCATATTGAATTCCTTCTGCATGTGTGTAACTTTAGGCTGTATTTTTATTCTGGAAATAGAATATTTATCAATTCATTATCTTTGTAACAGCTGCAAAATACAAATCACGAGGCACGTGAATTATTGAATATCGTATATAATTGGTTATTGAGGAATGATGAGAGGAACCCCAAGGCAAGAAGTGTAAGAAACGCCAGTTGTCATGGTTCTCGTGTCAAATATATGAACGATAACCAAAGCTCTGTGAAAATGGTTCCTTTTAACGTAGATAATTGTTCACCACACGTTTATTTTTCAATAAGCATAACTCCTAGTCGCCAGTTTATCTTTGAAAGAATTGCCCGCCGCAGTGGTATGTGAAGACTAGCACTACCAGGGAGTATGGTGGAAATTTATCAGCTTTCCATTTCAGAACACATTTTTCTAAGAGCTCAAAAAACGACAAGAGGTTCTAGAACTTTTAATAAAACCCGACTTTGCCAAATCACAAAGGCCGGTGTAACAGATTTAAGTGTCCCACAGTGGTCAGTGTCCGTGGGACTTCCAGTTGGAGGACATTGAAAACCAGGTTTTATTTCCTATAATTACAAGGATAAAATGGGGAGACAGTTATAACTGGGGAGACTCTCAGATCTGTCACACCAGTAACAGATTGTAATGTCCCCCTTGTAGTTAGTAGGATCAAAGTTATAGTGTACTCGAAACCGATTATCGGCATCTCTCCCACTGTGGCGTAATGGTATAAGCGTTGGCATAATGTGTATTTATTAATTCTGATTTGTGTTTATTAGGTTCCAGGTTCGAATCTTTGGTAAATCATGTGTAAATATATTAACCGTCTACACCGTTTATATTGTTATCAAAGTTTTAAGTGTCCCCCTTGAAGTTTTGAATGTCCCCTTGGGGACACTAAAAACCAGCATCATTCGAAGCTAGTTTTTAGTTGCCCCCTTTATTTATGTCTCAACTAATAATGCGTTTTATCATTAATAAATCATCAAGCACTACTCTGTTACGTTAAATATAGACCAAATATAACACAATTCACAAAATGTAAGTATATTATTGCTTTTATTTGCATAGACATCAAGTGAGCCGACATTAACCTTAATGACTCTGCATCACTGTCCTCTACTACGTATGTATAATGAACATAGGTCACATTTCATCGCGTATATACTCCTAAATACAAGGGCCGTTCGAATATTTTTGATGATCTTAAAAAATGTTTGGTCAATTTGAAGCAAGTTGAAATTTAGTCTTGAAAAAATTCCAAATTTGACCTTTTTCAGTTTTTGAGGTCTAATATCTCAAAACTGGCTCACAATTTTAATGGATAGTCAATTGCTTATGTGTAGAACCTTTAGTGGAATATATATTCTGACTTTCATCAAAAAATATTAATTTGTAATCATCAGCTTTGAGAAACTAAGAAAACACAGTTTGTGATTTAGTTTGATGACCTTGACATTTGACCTTGCAAAGGAGTGGTATCGATATGATGAACTCTTTGAACACACATTTCTCTTCTGAAAATTTTACACATCGTCAATTTAATGGTCATCTTTTGGATGGTAACATTATAATTTGAATTATATATATAGACTTTTCTCTATATTGTTTAAGAAAACACAGCAGACACTTCTTTCGGTCTTGGTATCATATGTTCGGAATGAGAAATATCTATCCCAATCTCATTGGAACAAAACGACATAAACACAACGTGTTTAGGTCTCTCAATATTGCAATTGTACAAAGGTAAGTTTGGTTGATTTTAAATAAGTATCTTGTAAATGAAATGAAAGGTTTATCTTAATTTTTTTCTATTTTGGGGCTTTTGCTTTAAGTTTTTGGATACTTTTTGTTAAATCAACCAAAATTTTCTTTGTATAACTATAATATTGAGAGGTCTAAGAAAGTGTTGTATATGCTATTTTTTCCAACAAGGTTCGGAAAGACATTTTATTTCATTCTCAAGAATTGGTAAAAAGGAACAAAAAAATAATTACATCAAAAAACAAAAAATGTTAACAAAAACAGTTATATAAAATATATATACATAATTTTTGCATTTAATTGTTGCCAATCAGTCAACATTACATATAGGACAATTTGTAGGGAATGCTTGTCTAGTTACATTTTAATTCATCGCAAGAAATAATGAAATATGAAGACGAAATCTGAGAAACTTAAAAAAACTCTGATTTGACCTAGATTTTGGCCTTTGACCTTGACCTAGATAAAAATTCCTTTCCTGCCAAGTGCAGCTCAGGTCCTTAGTAGAAGCATATAAGAGTTTTCTCAGACCTAGCTAGAAGTAGGAGAAAAGTGGTTAGGAGGAATAAATAAAGAATATCTATAAAAACTAATAAGGTGGTATCCTTTGAAAATGAAAACAAAACTAAAGAGTCATTACCACTTGTAAGAGCAGACATGAAAAGTAATACCTACTCAGTCGGAATTCGATTCAGGAACCCTGACGACTTTGATTACAGTAATCAAACATTGGTGTTTGCCGAAAAGAATCCAATGCTGATATGAGGTAAACATTTCCCTTGTAGTGAAAAAGCATGATTAAACCCTATGCAACGTGCGCAAAGCAGGCATGTCTGAAATCCAGAGTTTCCAAAACGTGTAGTCTTACCTATTTAGGTCATCCAATGACATCGAAGCGCATTGAGACAT